AAAAAAAAAAAAAAAAAAAAAGGGTCACAAATAGATCTTCTAAAGATGTCAGGGAAGCCAGGGAAGTAGGATCTGGGGGGTAAAAACCTCATGGGCCGGAGAAACCCCTGTCCCTGAGTAACTTCAAGGGTGCTGCTCATGGGCTCAGCGGCTCAGGACAGAGGAGCACCAGGACAAAAGTGCTCCCTGGTCTGCCAGGGGCTGCCTGAGGGGGCCGGGCGGGAGCCCAAAGCAAGCCTGGCTGATTCATAGCTCAGAGAGCCCAGGCCTCCTTGGAGCTGGAAAGAGGAAGTGAATGTGAAGCACTTCTTGGCTGGGAGAGGCGTTCACAACGCATGACCAAGACATACAGTGCAACGTGGACGCTGCCCGGCTATCCTGGGCTGCTCTGGCCTGGGGGAGGCTTCACAAGTGGCCTGACTAGGCAGCGCGTGGGCATGGCTGGGGCCAGGGACTGTGTGGGCAGGCTCTGCACGTCCTCCCTCGCAGGAGGCCCGTGTAGCAAATGTGGAGTCGCTGCCTGCTGAGAAAGCCTGGCCCTTCAGCTTCCCCCCCAGATTGGCCCACGGCGGATGGAAGAGTTGTGCTTTTCAGCGCTGGTGTTGAATCCAACATAAATTATGCTGCTGAGCACCGGCACAATGACAACGTTTGAGCCAAAAGATACAGTGACCAGCCCAAGGTCATGCAGAAAACCAGCTGGCAGAGGGGCCTGGACCTGCATGAGGACCAGGGACACAACTTTTTAAGGTCACAGCCAACACATAAGGCCACACTGTCACTCTTGCACTGGGTGCAATCCAGCCCTATGGTAAGAAGTCATCGTCTCTGCCAATAAACACCTGGGCTCACTGGAGGAGAAAGAGACCTGACGTCTCCTGCAAACCCAGCTTGGGATGCGCAGCCTGCCTTGCTGTCAGCTCTGCCTTCCCTCAGTGGAAAGAGGGGCCACTTGTAGTACCAGCAGGCGTGGGGCTGGCCTGGTGCCCACCACTCAGCTCGCCCTGGGGCCCAGGGAAAGGGCGGGGAAGGGTCCCGCTGGGCTATTTCCAGATCACACAGCCCAAACACGATTGGAGGGCAGGGGGATTTATTTGGGAATTTCCAGCTGGAGGACATGGATTTCCCTGGTTTCCCTCGTGTGGGATCTGAGAGCCCGGAACCCTGGTTCATGGAGGTGTGGGGTGTTATCACGGAACTGGCTAACAGGGCCCTTCCTCAGCCTCTGGCACATAGGAAACCATCCGTTGCTCCGTAAGGATGATCACCACTCCGTGAAGGCCATGTTCATGGGCGATATCAACGAGTTCTGGCTTTTTTGTATTTTCTCTCTGAACTTCTCTTTCTTTCAAGGCACTGCTTGGGGGGTTCTGCATGGGAACAATATGGGTGCCCTTGCTCTGGGTGGGAGGAAACCTCGGCACCTCAGTCCCAGCTGGCCAAGCCCAGGATGGACTTGGCCATGAACCCAGCATGTGGTTCAGCCCCAGCCAGGAAATGCCAGGACAGACCAGAGAGGAAGGTTCAACCCAGCCTGGTGGAAAAGCAGCTGCCCACCTGGGGCTGTAGACTGAAACGGGCTTCTGGCCACCCCCACCCCGTGAGCCTCTCTCCAATGTATGCACCGAGAAAAGAAGTGATGAGACTCACCTTGACCGTGTCAAATGGGTGTCCCACAAGCACGCCTGCCACACCTGGAGGAGGAGAGGGGGACTTGTGACCCACATGCCTCAAACACACTGCAGGGCGCTGAGCAGGACGGGGTTCTGGCAAGGACTGGCAGGAGCTGCTGAAGGGGAAAGGGACATGACCAAGCACCCGCTGGGCAACAGGCACATCCCATGAGCCCTACAACCCTCATGTCCAGTGGGGGGTATGCACGTGACATCCCAAGGCCAAGCCAGCACCTGTCCCACTCAGCACTGGTGTCCCATCTGCGGGCTGCTGCTTTCCACAACTGACTGGTCTGGGTAGCCGACAGCAGAAGTTGTCCTCTGGGATGCTGCACGCACTATTTCTGGGATGTCCCCTTAATCCAAACACCTGGCATGGTCAGGGGGCTCCAGGGATGGTGGACTTTGGGGTCAGACCCTCCCAGATTTGAATTTTCTATCTGCCGCCCCTCAGCCTGGCAAGCTCACAAATGACTCAGTGTCTCTGGGCCTCACTCTTCTTACCTGTAAGGGTTTACCTCCCTCCCCCAGGGTGACCAGAGACTGAACAGTGACGACCCCAGCTCCTGATGCACTGGCTGACACCTCCATTCCCTTCCCTGAGTGGGAGCCACCTCGAGCCCAGGGAAAGAGCTTGTGACTTTGCAGTCATGCTTGGTTATTATTTCAGGTCCCGCCAAAAATCCAGCCCCTCTTGAAGGACAAAGGTGCCGGGCGCAGTGGCTCATGCCTGTAATCCCAGCACTTTGGGAGGCTGAGGTAGGCAGATCGCCTGAGGTCGGGAGTTCGAGACCAGCCTGACCAACATGGAGAAACCCTGTGTCTACTACACAAAAATACAAAATTAGCTGGGCATGGTGGTGCATGCCTGTAATCCCAGCTACTCAGGAGGCTGCAGTGAGCCGAGATTGCACCATTGCATTCCAGACTGGACAACAAGAGCAAAAACTCAGTCAAAAGAAAAGAAAAGAAAAGAAAAAGGAAGAAGAATAAAGGCTCACCCCTCCAAAACAGCTCACAAACACTTCTCAGAGTCCCATATGCTGTGCAGGAGGTAACCACCTCTGAGTCTTCCCACCACTGTGAGTAAGGCAGCCTCATTACCATTTCGCAGAAGGAGAGACAGGCTCAGTGAGGTCAGGTAACTGACTCCCACTCCCATGCTCCTCTCCCTGGACTTTCATGTGGACATCTGTTAAAGCTCTGCTTTTACTGCCAGTAGTGTTTACGTATAATTAAAACAGCTCACATCTGTTGAGTAACAAGCTTTCAACCCATTTTCACTCTTCTACTTAATGCCTGTGGAATTTACTATGCATCTCCACAAATTGAACTTTTTATCTTTACACAATGTCCTCTTCATCCTTTAATACTTTAGACCTGCCCAGGCATGGTGGGTCATGCCTGTAATCCCAGGACTTTGGGAGGCTGAGGCAGGCAGATCACTTGAGGTCAGGAGTTCAAGATAAGCCTGGCCAACATGGTGAAACCCCATCTCTACTAAAAATACAAAAATTAGCCGGGCATGGTAGCGCCCACCTGTAGTCCCAGCTACTCGGGAGGCTGAGGCAAGAGAATCACTTGAACCCG